ATGTTTCCCTAACACCTCATTATCCCCGGCATCCCAGCCGAGGGTCAGGGGTTCAGACAGGGACACTGTTCTGCAGGAGGCGGCATTGGGCCAAGGGCCGGAGCCGTACTGGGCTTCTCAGGAAAGGCCTGTGTGTGCTGTTTCGGGGAAAAGAATGGAAATTTATGAGATTTGAGTTACTCAAACGTTGTTGATATCAAAAAGTTTTGGTTTAGTGTTGGACGTAGTTCTCACAAGATGCGTTATTTTGTCCCGAATCAAACTGAATTGAATATAATGTAGGTGTCTTTAATGCGAAGTACTTCTATACTTGCAAGTACTATATTACATAAGTAAATGCATATGTAGAGAATCAGTATATTAGATCTGTGCATTTTCTCTTAAAGTGACAGCAGCCTAATATTCTCCCTGCTGTCTTGTGTTTTTAATGTTAATCAAACAAAGGACTAAAAATCACAATGTTCTTGACTGAATGATTTTAGTAACTTTAATAACAGTTAATACAGTTTAACAGTTTAATACAGTGTATATATGTATATACACACATATATATATATATATATATATATTAATGGGAACATTTTAATGGTATTGGTACCGACTAAAGATCATTTTTATTTTATAACTTTATATATATATATATATATACACATATATACAACATATTTTTAGGTTTAATCTTTTATGTTGTATATTTTTTTTATTTTTTTTTTGTAGTTTTATTATTTTTGATGGCATTGCTGAGCATCCCACCATGAGCGTTGTTGTTTTGTAGAAGCTGCCAAGTTCAAAAACAAGTTCAAGACCCCTGCATTCTACTCTGTATGGCTCTTTTTGGACTTTTTTTTTTTTTAATTTCTGCTGCTTTCTATCCCCGTGTGTGTGTGTGTGTGTGTGTGTGTGTGAGCCCATAAGCTCTCTTGTTTTAGTGAGCATTGTAGATGTGGATGCTATTGTTTTAGGCGGTACTGTTGGTGTAGTAGAGATGCCTGAACTTATTCTCAGTAGAGTTGCACCTGCACCCATTTCCTGACTTAAATGTGATGGATAGCAGTGCAGAGCGCTCCCTGTCCCAGTATGCATCACTCCTCACAAGGTACATGGTGTAATAGTTGACCGCCGCATTCATGGCCTTGGTGAATCAATCTCCATCAGTTAATGCTGTAGAGCGGTGAGAGAGCGTGTGGGTGTGTATCCGCGTGTATGTTCAGCCAGTGCTGTGCGTGTCAGCAAATCCCTTTTTTCTGAACTAGTGGTGCATGGGTGATTATTTCTCTTTACCCTTATATTGCATCATTCTAATTGGGTAGAAATGCATATCCCCTCTGTTCCCAGTGTGCCTCCTGAGTCCTGACTGTAACATACAGTGCCCTGGCTGTTAATAATGTCCGTACAGTCTCCTTAAGTGTAAGCGTCAATCCTCAGAGAGTGCCGCAAAGACTGGGATTACCCCGGCCTGTCGGCAAACTCCTAATGCAAATGTTACCTAATCCTCTCTGTACGAAATAATTACACTTGTAAACAAACTGTAGCGCTGCATCTGGGGTTTACTCGCAGGGAAGGCTCATCCAACCTCAGCACTCTTTCTGGTGAGATTCAGGTGTGATTAACAGTTCTCAATTCAGTTGTGTGCCATTCAGATTTTTTAAATCCCTGGATTGGACTGAATTTGAATGCAAGGAAATAAAATGAACTGAAATTCAAAGATATTCAAATAATTTTTTTTATAGGTAGAAAAGACAACTTCTATGTTCAATGTAGGCTTGAAAAGTTTTAAAGTTTAAAAAGACTTGAAGTTTCAAGGTTTGTATGATGGATGGATGGATGGATGGACCAACTGATGGATGGATGGATGGATGAACCCACAGATAGAAAGATGGATGGATGGATGGATGGATGGACCCACAGATAGAAAGATGGATGAATGGATGGATGGGCCAACAGATTGATAGATGGATGGAGGGATGGATGGATGGACCAACAGATAGATAGATGGATGGATGGATGGATGGATGAATGGACCAAAAGATAGATAGACCGATGGATGGATGGACCAACAGCTGGATGGATGGATGGACCAACAGATAGACAGATGGATGGATGGACCAACAGATAGATAGATGGATGGATGGATGGACCAACAGATAGATAGACCGATGGATGGATGGATGGACCAACAGATACATAGACCGATGGATGGATGGATGGTCCAACAGATAGATAGACAGATGGATGGATGGATGGACCAACAGATAGATATATGGATGGATGGACCAAAAGATAGATAGATGGATGGGTGGATGTACCAACAGTTAGATAGACCGATGGATGGATGGACCAACAGCTGGATGGATGGATGGACCAACAGATAGACAGATGGATGAATGGATGGATGGACCAACAGATAGATAGATGGATGGATGGATGGTCCAACAGATAGATAGACCGATGGATGGATGGATGGATGGACCAACAGATAGATATATGGATGGATGGATGGACCAAAAGATAGATAGATGGATGGGTGGATGTACCAACAGATAGATAGACCGATGGATGGATGGATGGATGGACCAACAGATAGATAGACCGATGGATGGATGGATGGATGGATGGATGGACCAACAGATAGATAGACCGATGGATGGATGGACCAACAGATACAGTAGATAGACAGATGGATGGATGGATGGACCAACAGATAGATAGACCGATGGATGGATGGACCAATGGATGGACGGATGAATGGATGTACCAACAGATAGATAGACCAATGGATGGATGGACCAACAGATACGATGGATGGATGGATGGACCAACAGATAGATAGACCGATGGGTGGATGGATGTATGGCTAGAAACTGTAGATAGATTCAATATATTCCTCTTTCTTGATAATCCAATTCAGCTTCCTGTGAGTTTTGGCCATTGCAACTCAAATTCATTCTCATAAATTGAATGGAGCTACATAATGTGGGTTTTAGCCAATGTTTTTTTCATCTGAGCTTTCTTCTAAACTCTTCTATTTTTAGCAGACCAAAATTAGTCTGTTTTGAATAAAAGACAATAAAACAGTGTTTATTAATTCAATTAGAATTTCTGTTTTCTAGTGCACTTTTGTTTTCTTGGGCATTTTAATTACTGATAATAGTTGTTTGTGTTTTTGTTTGGCCACTGGGCTTTGTTTGTACTGGGCGGAGAATGCAAATATGTCTCCTGATGGCATAGGCACAGATAAACAACGCTCTTATCGCCATTTATTTATGCAAAGTAAACGTGGAGGAAGTAGTTCGCTAGTTGACGGCTTCCTGTCCAGCTTAGCGTGGGCTGCCAAAGAGCATAGTGTCAGTTCCAAGGGGTAGGGCATCAACAGCCCCTTTGTGACCAAGGATTTGCGTCATAAATATGATTTTTTTTTTAATAAAAGATTTAGTCAGGGCAGTTTTTATTCCATGACATCAAATAGCCTTTGACGCTGGCCTTAGTGTGGCCTCAGGGCTTCCGCTGAGGGCTTTTGTTTCGCCTGCTAAGGGGTCAGAGGAGCACCCTTGAACTTGTGGCATTTGAGGCATCATGACGTCACATGAGTGGAGCTGACACCTAAAGCATGAATGTGGCCACTGTTCCCCCTAAAACCTATTCAATGCAAAAATGAAGAGGTCCCATGCCAGCAGTATGGATGTAATATGCTATCAGAGGCTATTTAATGCAGACCACTTGTCTGCTTTGTTCACCTTAGCCTAGTTCTAGCCTGCCAAAAGAGACTGTTTTATATAATATAACTGAAAAGCAGTCCTAATAATGGTAAAAGTTCTAGTTTATGGTGATGTGTTGATGATATTCAGGGATTCCTAGACTTGCAGTAATGCTCGGATAAGCTACATTTGCATCCGTTCTCTGTTTATTCTAATTACACAATGTTAAAAAGGAACAAACATAAAATGTATTTTAATGATGTCCTATTTATTCTTGTGTTGGATTTCATTGCTCATTTAACCCATAAACCTTTTGGGCCTCGCGTACACTCTCGGTCGTAAAGCCACTTAACTTATCAACACAAGCATCCTCACTGCGGAATGTAATTGCTCAGTTCCTCAGTTTTCTTCAGATTTATCTGTTATGAGAGAGGGATGATTGAAGAAGATGCCGCTTCCTGATTCCCGTGACGCCGTTCATGTTCGCCAGTAGTGAAGATCTAACCAAGATCTGTTTAGGAACATGATGTTTCTTTGCACTGTTTATTCTGATGTCTGCACTCTGTCCGCACATTTTTATGGATATTTAAGATACTTTTTGATTGGACAATTGCTTCTTACTATCATTGTTTTCTGGTTCTTGCAGGATTTGAGAGAGCTTAGTGATCACCTGATCTCGCACTTGCACGTGCAACACATTATTGTGATATCCTTGATTCTTATCATCAAAACATTTTTTGTTCTATTATTTTTTGCTTTATTCGTTTTGTCTTTCAATTTCATTATTTGGTTTCACTTTATTTTGATGCTCCCTTTAACACATTCTCTTGACTAAGTAACGTTGCACCTTCATCACCTCGCATTAAAGTGTTGTTAGTAGATTATTAGTTGACTGGTAGGGTTAGAATAAGTTGACATGTAGTTGCAAAGTTATTTATAGTCAGTAGAATGGGAAATCAGACCATCAAAATTAAGTGTTACACCATTATCTTAATCATATATTCGAATGGCGGCGAATTTCTTTTACTGTACAGGATTATAGAGGCCATCGCAGTGATCAGAGAAGGGCTCATTCAGCCCATCAGACAATTGTTTAAGCTTGTATGGGTTAGCAAAACGGGTATTTTTAACATGAAATGTCGCATAATGCATCTTTAATGTGTACGTTCTTGAGACATCAATAGGATGATGACTTCTGAAGACTTATTTTTGCAGCACCAACAAACTTAAAATGTCGGCTTGCCTGAATGTCCTGTTAGATTTGTTGTTTTTCTCATTTATTGTCCGATTTCTCACTTTCCGCAGTTGATGTGAGTGTGGCACTGCCACAGCAAGTGCCACCTTCTGCCATCCCCATGGACCTGCGTGTTGATCACCAGTTCGCCCTGGCGCCGACGGACCCGGCCCAGCGTGAGCATCAGCTTCAGCAGGAGCTTCTGGCCCTCAAGCAGAAACAGCAGATCCAGAGGCAGCTCCTGATCGCAGAGTTTCAGCGGCAGCACGAGCAGCTCTCACGCCAACATGAAGCGCAACTGCAGGAGCATGTGAAGGTGAGGCGAGCGCTTCTGACCCGGGGTGGGCGGTAAACAGTGCTGCAGGGCTGAGGTATTTTTGTAGGCCACCCTGGAATTTATCTTCACCCTGGATTTCTCCACAAATGCCAATAGTAATTTTCCATTGGCTTTTGGAAGGGTGCAGAAAATAAGCTCTGCAACCAACAAAAGTTTGAGACTTAAGGCCATTGCACACTGAGCACGAAATATTCGTATGCGTATTTTCGTGTTCGTCAGCTTAAAAATTCGTCACGCATAGAAACCTTGCACACCGAGTCCGTTGCGTATTTCTTAAACCTTTGCGGGAAAAAACGCAAAAATACCAAATGGATTCGTCAAGCAGTGAGGATGATTTTTGCCCTCTCTCTTATTGAAAAGGGAAGAAAGAGAAAATATTACGTCCATCCAATCCTGAAATTGCGCCGAGAGGAAGGAGAGTTCCTTGTCAAGGAGTTGCGAATTTATCCTGAGCGATTCAAAATTTACCTCAGAATGTCAGTGGGACAGTTTGATGCTTTGCTAGCGATTCTGGAGCCACATATTAAAAACAAGACCACCAATTTCCGTGAACCAATCGATTCTGAACGGAGACTGGCAGTGTGTCTGAAATGGACCAGGTATGGACACACACACGGACAAACACACACCCACGCGCGGCCCGTTGGAAGCGCTGGGCAGACAGAACAGCTAGGCTGTTATTGTGTATATATTGTGCCCAAATAATACATTAGTTATCGAATAGGCTGCTCAATCACACCTTATTCGATCCTAAATTTCAATCTGATTGAAAGGGGAGGTTTATTAATTTCATAATCCAATATAGAGAAGAGAATATAAACACTTGATCGAATTGAAAACCGCAACTGAAAGCACGGCGCATATGTGCAATGATTTGAGGACGAGCTCCCCTCGGCCCTGAATTGTCAAAAGACCTCTCAAAATGCTGGCTCTGGATTCGAAAAACGCAGAAAATCGAACCCGATCCGATTAATTTTATGACGGACGAAAGTTTCGGAGGCGGTGTGCAAGCGTGACTGACATAACGTGAGGTCGAATTTTTTTTTTTAACGTGCGAAAATTTCGGATGCAAATTTCGGACTCGGTGTGCAATGGCCTTTACGCATTTTATTCAAGATGATCTTCACAAATGAACACCATTTTCAAGCATAATTACAATAGCCAGAAGTAAAAAGTAGGGCTGGGTATTGAGACAAATTTCACAGTTCGATTCGATTTCGATTCACAAGCTTGCAATTCGATTCGATTTCGATTACGATTCGATTCGTTTCAATATCGATTATTTTTTTTACAATAAATGGCCATTTTTCTCAAGGGAATCAAATCTCTTAAATGCTGTAAACTATGGAAGTCTAGTTGTAGCCAATAGGCTTCATTAGCCTAATATGAAGGTAATAATGAACTGTTTTGTAGCCATACAACCACTTAAATTACACTTTTATTTATTTTATAATAAGAAGATTATATGAAATATAAACATTTAAATGGTGGCTGTCATAAAAACTCGCCAGATTTATTCGAATATGCATTAAATATTGTAGAACATTACGATTATAATGCATATGTAACATGTTGTATATATTTAGCAAAATGGACGCCCAGAAAATGAACGTAATTTGAAAATTGAGACTTTGTTTCATATCAATAGTAACAAAGGACAAAGATTATTGCGATTTTTTTTGGATGCGCGCAGCCGCGATACAATGTCCCATTCATTCAAATGAAACAGGATGACTAATCGATTCTTGAGATTTAAGAATCGATATCGGTTCGTAAAAATGAGAATCGATTAATATCGAGAAATCGATATTTATTACCCAGCCCTAGTAAAAAGCTAAGCTTAGGCTATAAATGAATCACACCACTTAGTCTCAGCCTCAAAACATCTGATTCTGAGGCACACACAATGGGAAACATGTTTCGAAGTCGTCATCCGATTGCTTGAATTTATCAGGATTTCCAGGACACCTGTGTGTCGTGTTCTTTAATGGTCCGCCTAGAAACAAAGCATCATCTCCTTATGGAAGATGAAATCCGTCATGTCTACAACTGTCCTTTTTTTATTCAAAATATTCACACACTTGCTTACCATGTCATCAACTATCTGATATTCCGATTGTCAAAAAAGTGTAAGTGAGTGTGTTTGGTCGTTTAAAACCTTTATAAATGATCTTGATCTTGATCTATAACGTGAGAAGGGCGCCACCATGTTTATTTGCGCCGCATTTCAGAGA